CCATGGTGGCCCTTGTTGCCTCGCTGGCAGCCACCATGGCCTCTCTCCTCACCTGGGCTCCATGCCCGGCCACCACCTCGGCCCCCTCCTCCCTGCCCAGAGCCTGACCCAACTCCACCATGTTTTCCTGAGCTGTCCCATCACGGGCAGCCTCGTCCTGCAGCTCCCTGGCCCAGGTGACCACCCCCCTAGAGGTGTTGTGGAGCTCAGTGCCATTCCTGAACAGCTCGGCAGAGTTGTCCACAAGCACAGACTCCAACTGCTGCCACTTGCTGGCTGCCATTGTCACACGATCCCAGTTGGTCCCTGGGGTGCTCTCTTAGGCAGCCAGGGCCCGGCTCAGGGAGGTGGGAGGATCATCATCATCGGAGGTGACATTGAGGTGCCATAAGGTGTCCTCAGTGCACTGCGGGGCGTCCCGGAGCTCACCCAGGATGTACACCACCCTGACCTGTGGCTGCAGCAGGGCCGGGGACAGCTGGGGAGGGGACAGGGAGGTGTCAGGGACCTGGTGGCACTGACGGCCTCCTGGGGTGGCCCCCTGCCCCTGAGGCCCCCTTTTTACCCCTCCCTGGATGGCTCTGCTGCCCCTCTGTCCCTCTCTTGTTCCTGCTGCCACCTCTGCCACTTTCCTCGTAGCCTCTGCCACCGCCCTGTCCCCTCCGCTGTCCCCTCTGCCACCGCCCTGTCCCTTCTGCTCTCGAGAGTCCGGGTCGCCGTGGCCTGAGATTGTTAAGTCTCTTTCCAGCCCACGTGCTTGAAGAATGATTCAGAGTTCTTCATTTCCCGGTCCTATCTAAAAATTTTTCTCCTCCCCTGCCGAAGCCCATCCAGCAGGACGTACCCGGCACACTGCCTGGCCCCGGGGCGGTGTTAACTCTTTATACAAAAACTACGTTTATAATGTTTAAAATTTCTTTCTAATACCAATCATCTATCTTGGACAGTGAGCTCCCACTCTAAACCAATCTAAAAGTGCCCACATCACAGCAGAAGATGGAGGCAGAGAAGAAGGAGAAAGGCTGGACACACCCAAATCCCTCCACCTTGCCCCTGAAACCCCCATTCTAGAAACCCCAAAAATCTATTTTTTCACCCCGTGATAATTTCACTGTTATGCTACTTAAACTGCTGTGGCTTGCTGGTCTTCGTACAATTTTCTCCACGGGTCATAATCAACCCCACAGGTGTTCTGGGCTCTGTGCCAGGGTTTCTGAGCCCCCTGGCCGGGCTCTTGGCCGTTCTGGACACCCAGAGGGATGTCCTGAGTTGCGACACTCGGCCACCCCCCTGCTGTCCCCTCTGCCACTCCCCTGCTGTCTCCTCTGCCACCCTCTCATAGCCCCTGCCACCCTCCTGTCCCCTCTGCTGTCCCCTCTGCCACCCTCCTGTCCCTTCTGATGTCCCCTCTGCCACCACGCGCCAGTCCCCGGGTCCCCTCCTCTGTCGTCTCCCCCCATATTCCCTTCCAATCGCACCTCTTTGGGCTCCACGGTCACTGGGGACACCTTGGGGACACCTTGGGGACGCTCTGGTGGCGAAGGAGCCCCGGGACCAGCGGCAGTTGCAGCTCAGAAACCGTTCCGGGAACGGTGCCAAGAAAAGGCGGAGCCGCCTCATGAGGGGCGGGAAAGGGGCCGGGCGCCCGCTGTTTCCCCGTACCGCCCTTATGCATAAAAGCTCCAGGCTCTGGGCGCTTTGGCTCAACCCCAGGGAAATTAGGATCCGTCCCCAGGGAATTTAGGCTCAGTCTCGGCATTTCCAGGCGGATTCCGCCCTTTCTGGCCGGATTTATGAGGGACCGCGGAGCGCTCCGAGGGGCAGGCGGAACTGCCCTCACACTATATGGCGGCGGAGCCTCACGCCAAAGACGGGCAGTTTGCGCTGGTTGAGCCCGGGGAGCGCTCCTGGGGGACGCTGCCGGGTGGATTTGGGCGCTTTGGTTGAATCCCAGGGGATTTAGGATCCATCCCCAGGGGGTTTAGGCTCAGTCCCGGCATTTCCAGGCGGATTCCGCTCTTTCTGGCCGGATTAATGAGGGAACGCAAAGCGCTCCGAGGAGCGGGCGGAACTGCCCTCACGCAAGATGGCGGCGCTGCTTCAGGGAAACAACGGGAGCTGTCCTGGCTCTCTTTAGAGGCCCCAGGGGTCCTGCAGGGTTTTAGGCCGAGTTTGGGGTGGTTTAAGCGGAATTATGGGGGGATTTAGGCTGAATTTGGGGGATTTAAGTGGAGTTTGGAATCCCCGTTGCTCCGCTCGTCTGTAGCCACATCCAGGACCGGGCGGAAGTGCCCTCACCCAAAATGGCGGCGCAGCCTCACGCCACAGACGGACAGTTTGCGCTGGTAGAGCCTGGGGAGCGCTCCTAAAGGGACGCTGCTGGGTGGATTTGTGAGCTTTGGTTGAATGCCAGAGAATTTAGACTCAGCCCCGGTTGATTTAGGTTCTGTCCCGCCATTTCCAGGCAGATTCCACCGTTTCGCGCTGGATTTATAAGGGAACGCAGAGCGCTCTGAGGAGCGGGCGGAGCTGCCCTCACCCAAGATGGCGGCGCAGCTTCAGTAGTCGAGGATGTCATCAATTATCCCCAGCAGGTGATCCTTGGCCAGGCGGACGTTGGCCTCCCACAGCCGCTCAGCCTCAGCCACCTTGGCCACCAAGTCCTCGGGGACAGTGGGGAACTTCTTCTTTGTCCCCTTCAGGGTGGTCTCGGTGTCCCTGAGCAGGCGCTGAAGCTCCCAGGGGAACGCAGTGGCTTTGTCACACGCGGCCACCAAGCGCTCCAGCAGCCCCAGGGCTGCCTCCACCCGCTGTCTCACCATGGTGGCCCTTGTTTCCTCACTGGCAGCCTCCATGGCCTCTCTCCTCACTGGAGATTCAGGCCTGGCCGCAACCTCGGCCCCCCCATCCCTGTCCAGGCCCTGACCCATCTCCATCATGTGTTCCTCAGCATTCCCATCACAGGCAGCCTTGGCCTGCCGCTCCCTGAAGTCAGTGATGAATGCCTCAGTGACCACCTTCCTGCAGGTGTTACGGAGCTTGGTGGCTGTCCTGGCCACCTGGCCCCAGCGGTTCACAAGCACAGCCACCCACCCCTGCCCCTCGCTGGCCACCATTGTCACACGGTGAATTAGGCGTAGTGTAATGGAAAAGCCTGCCCAGAATAAA